TACTAGATTTATCAGTTTTAATCTAAGTGAATTCTTAAAATTGTTTATGAGGTTTTTAATCAATCCTTTCAAATGTATACAAAGTGAAGTATGTGCATTCATTTTATTTGTGCTATGAATATGAGATATACAAATTTACATAAAACACTAAAATAAATACTTAAATTATAAGCCTTCACTTTGCTTTCTTTTTTTTGGACTTCATGAAATTTTTCATTCTTATTGATTTGATCTTTATATAAAACTTGTTTAATATTTATTCTCAACCAAATATATTGTTAATCTGATTTTTTTTATTGTTATCATAAAAATATATAAAAACATAAATGTGTAACCTAAAGGTCAACAAATCTTACTAAGATAAAAACAAATAAATTTATATGATTTTCATAGAACCCAACAAAATTTGAAACCATTCCAAAATAAATTCTATTTTTTACCATTTTGTTAATATTTGATATTTAAGAAAAAATAAAAAAATGATTCTTAATCTAAAAAAATTTGAATTTAAATTGAATTTTTAATAGCATATATTAATTAGCTCAAAATATTAAAAAAATAATTTTTTTTTCTAATAAAGGTTTCATCAAACAATATGTTAGATAATTTGTGGTGTCTCCTCGAGGTTATACTATTATCAATTAATCAGTTTTATTCTTGAATTGTTATATTTTATATGATTGTTATTTGATTTTGACCATTAAAATTAAAAAAAAAATCTCTTTTAACATAATTCATATTTTGGTATTTGTCATTGAAGTTTTTTTATAAATATTAATGAAAATTCAATCCATTTTCATAAATAATTTGAATTTTTTGAAGTTGAAAAATATATTTTTAAAACAAAACAATTTAACAAATTATAAAAAAAGAAAACAAGCCAAATTATCTCAAATTGTTCTTGAGTCCGAATGATTTCATATGAATTTATATATGTAATTTCAGTGTGATTTTCAAAAGTTCAGGGTTTAAAAAATTAACCTATTTTTTAAATGTTTGCAAATATTTTAATTTGAACACTAATAAAATTTTGGACCATTCCAAAATATCTTATATTTAAAAAAAAAATTATTATTAAAACAAAAACCTTAAAAAGCTTCTTAATCTCAATTTTTTTAAAAATAAATTGATTTTTTTTAGCATATATAAAAAATGTAAGCTCAAAATTGATTTTTTTTTTTTAAAAAAAGAAGATTTAATCAAAGGACAACAATATTTACCCAAAACATATGACAACCCAGTCAAAAATCGGCTTTAAACCGAGTACTATTTGATTCAACTTGCTTCTCTCTTCACAACTTCAAGACACAATTGCCTAAAGTTCTAACCAAAACGTGTGGAAAAGATCATTAAATTTGCAGCCAACTGTGACATTGCAATTTGAGAACACTTTGTTGCTGTCGATAAATTACCAAAAATCCCTACAAGAACACTGGCCATCTCTAAAACAATGGAAACGGTTTCTGTCACGTACGATTATCTCTCGACTGACAATACCTGATATGATTTTCAAGGCAGCATGGCAGTCCTCACAAACACGGAGATTTTTCATAATCCTGATCGGTGTTCCCTCTGGCGTGGTCATTAACCCAAAAACCACAGCTAATTTCTCACTGTGACGATACAAAAATTTCTCCTTCTCCTTCTCTTCCACGTCCAACAGAACAACAGATGTCTTAGGTGCATATCCTCTACGCTTCATTTTGACCAATAGTTCGTCCCATATCTTGCTTATATCCTCAGTCTGAGGGTGTGTCTGATCTCCAGCAGCAAACTCATGAACCACTCCATTAACAGTGATTGAACTCCACCCACTTGTCTTCTTCACCCCTCGATCTTTCATCAACTTCCTCACCCTTGCTGCGTCTTCCCATCGTTCTGCTTCTGCATAAATGTTTGATATAACCACATAGTACCCATCATTAAGAGGATCCAATTCAGAAAGGTGTTTTATTGCTTCCTCAGCCAAATCAATGTTTTTGTGAACTTTGCACCCACCAAGGAGAGCCCCCCACACCACTCCATTTGGCTTAATAGGCATGCTCAATATAAACTCGTGAGCCTCTTCAAGATGCCCTGCCCTACTAAAAAGGTCAACCACGCAACCATAATGCTCAATCTGTGGAATCACACCATAATCCGCAGTCATGCTAGCAAAAAACCGACGACCCTCATCAATCAATCCTATGTGGCTACATGCATGCAAGAGCCCAATAAAAGTAACCCCATTAGGCTTCACACCTACTTTGATCATCTCAGAGAAAAGACACAGAGCTTCCTCTGCTTGCCCATGCATTGCAAGCCCAGCAATCATTGCTGACCATGACACCACAGTCCGTTCTTCCATTTCATAAAAAACTCTTCTGGCATTCTCCAAGCATCCACATTTGACATACATATCAATCAAGGTATTACAAACATGAACATTTCTCTTAAACCCACTTTTTGTCGAGTATTCATGAACACTCCTCCCAAGATCTAGATCACCTAGATCAGCACAAGCTGCAAGAACAGAAACAACAGTCACCTCATTCGGCCTCACCGCTTCATCTTCCAACTTCATAAACAAATCAATAGCCTCCTTAGGTTTGCCACACTGAACAAAACCCGAAATCATAGAAGTCCATGACCTAACATTCTTGTTAGGCATCCGCAAGAAAAAGCCATAAGCACCATCAATATCTCCCCTCTTGACCAACTGGGCCATCACTATATTCCAAGTAACAGCATCTCGTTGCGGCATTTTCTCAAACAACAACATAGCATCACCCGTCTCCCCACACAGACCATACAAATTCAAGATCATATTTTGCAAGAACAAATTTGAGCCAAAACCAAGCTTCTGAAGAAGCCCATGAATGATTTTACCATTCACAACATCAGATAGTTTCAGACACGCTTTAAGGACAAAAGAACAAGTGAAAGTATCAGGCAAGACATCAAACAAACGCATTTGATAAAACAACAAAAGGGCATTAGAAGGGCAATCGCCCTCAGCAAAACGTATTAAACAAGAATTCCAAATGGGAGTTTGAGGTATTTCAAGGAGATGAGAAAAGATTTGGTGGGCATAAGAGAAGGAAGGGGAGAGAGCACAAACAAAAGCAACTTTGGTTAAAGGGAGGATAGAGAGAGGAGTGTTGGTTTTGATAAGGCGGGCATGGAGTTGTTTTAGCTCAAGCGGAGTGTTGAAATTGTGGATCAGACGATCATTATTTTTGAGGTTTTGGAAAGTGGGGGCAGGTGTTGGGAAACAGTGAAGGGAAGAAGATAGAGAGGAAGAGGACATCATTTCCTTTTCCACTTTCAGTTCATATTCACATGTTATTCTTCTTCAAACCTTTCTTTGGTCTGTGAGGGTGCTTTATATTTTATTTTATTTTATTTTGCTCTCTCTCTCTCTCTCTCCCCAAAATTTCTTTAAGTGAAAATGTAACTTCAGCAGGTTCTAAACCTGCTTCCTAAAAATTTCTATTTTAATTACTATAAATTTTTTTAAAAACATTTACTATTGTTAATTTCAGAATTTTTAAAAATTACTGTAAACTAATCCAAATATTTATAATTATAAATTAAAAAATTCTTTAAAAAAATTAAACCCTGAACTCTTAATTTTATTGATTGTATTCCACATCAGGCAATAGTATCTCCTATTCATTCTTCATTACCAACTGTTGAAATGATTTCGGATGTTAGTCTTATTTTTTATGTTTGTGATGTAAAAAACAATGCTTGCTAATATATTAAATTGTGTTTAATACTTTCAAATTTGTTAAAAAAATAAATTTAACATAACTTTCATAAAACAGTTTTTATATGTTTTTTAACTTGATTCCATAAAATTCTATTTATTTTAATATATTTTTAAATAAAAAACACTTTTAAAAAACAATTACAACCAAACATTTTATATATAATTTACTACACATGAACCTTAACTATAATACACGTATGTAAATCCAATTATTTACATCTAATCACACTTTTTTCGTACCACAAAAACTACTCAAAAAAACAATCGTATCATCAAAGCAAGGCTTTGGCAATAGCTACTACGTCAAATGGTATTGGATTTCTTGAGGCTTACCTTTCTAGAGTGATTGGAGTATATGATTGGAGTATATAGCTCTTCCGAAAACCATACAATTGAGATGAAGTGGTGGGAGGCACTACCCCCACATCGCCTAGTAGCATACTAATTGGCCCTTTTTCTAGCCTTACCTCCCCAATACAAAGATTCCCTTTGAATTAAATTGTATGAAGGCTAATGCTTTGCCCTCAAGATCGCACAACGAGCTTCCAATGAAGAACAGATCACATGATATAGCATCAATACAAGAACTCTAAGGGAATCACCTAGCAAACTACATATCCAGTCTATTTGACGAGGAAAATTAGAGATTAAACAGATAGTAGTGATGTATCTATGGAGAGGGGCAGCCATTCCACTTTTAAAACTCTGAACTTCAACACAGTAATACTTATCAGAAGAAAATATCATGTTCCTTATCTGGGAAACTTCACAATTTAACACAGATATATCACTGCAAAATTTTCTTATTAATGGCAACCACAAGCCCAATACTCATCCGAATCATTAACATTTAAATTTCGTCTGGTCTACATGCACGGCTGGGGCCAACCTTACTTGAAGAGTTCTGGATTCAGCCAGTCCCTGCAAATACAAAAACAAATTGCTGATATGATTTCTATGAATAAATAAGGTGCAAAGCAGTGCCTGATGCTAAACTTGTCTGCATGTATATGAAAACAGAAGACACCATTCACTCACACTCACACATGGATAAGATGCTTACTTGGTAATGTCATCGAGGTGGTCATCAAAGTCCACCACATCCTCCCACTTCTTCGATGAAATATAATCCAATAGAACAGCATTTGCAGCTGGTTCCTTAGTTGTCAATTGGCAGCCTCCATCTGATCCAGCTAGCTTCCAGTTCTTGGATGCATCCCTTGTATAAAGCTAGTACAAGAAGGGAACAAATGTACTTAGTCGCTTGACTGAAAATTCATTAAATGGGGGCTAAATTGGGCAATTAGAAAAGTAAACATAAAAAATTAACAGAATAACACCGTTTGTAAATGTTATGGCAAAACAGCACACTTTCACCTTGTCGCATTTCAAAAGTGCGGCATTTACTTTTACTAAATGTCGTTATTCCTAAACGTGACAAGGTAGTTGTCAAGCTGCCAAGTAACAACATTTAGTAAATTTAGCGCTTCTAAAGTGCAATAAGGTAAAAACCAATCAACCAGTTCTTAATGGTTAGTAAAACTGATCGACTAATTCTGAAAATAACATAGAAAATCTCAAAACTACCAAAAACAAGAGGCCTTGGCGAGATTTTTTATATCTAGATATCCGATGGTCCCTGTAGCGACACAATAGCTGCTATAGAGAATACAACTTCTGAGAACTCTTATAAAAATCTAAGCGCGATCCAACAATCGAATAAAATTTTATGGTTTTTTTAGCCGTTATTCTGGTCTAACGCGACCAGACCTCTTCTTGGGCCTAAAACTGTCCCAATGATCATAAATACATCTGTTAGGATATCCACATAATCTGATTGAGGCAGATCCTCATTTAGTTATGACAAACCCACACCTAACTGTTTAGAATTACCTGTTATCACAAGCTTGACTACATCATTGACATTGAAAAATAAAGAACAACTACTATATGAATAATAACTTTCTATTATTTTAGCTGTAGTCTATTTTAGAGTTTACAAGACAGATGTATATTTTGACTCAAAGAACATATTTGAAAAAAAAATTCATTAAATAATGGTTTTTATGTGGAATGATTGACCTGTTAATACAACTGGATCAAACAGGGCGACTGGTTGAATCAAATGATTAGACTTTCACCTTGTCCCACTTCAGAAGCATGACAAGGTGAAAGTATGCTATTTCACCGAATCCTTTTCAAATAGTGTCATTCTGACAATATTTAACATTTATTGTGCCAATTTGACAAAAGAACCTTAAATGGGACCATCATGCTAGGGTTCATCTATCAATTAGTGAGTGGTATGAGGTAATGGTGGCGCTATGGTAGGGGAGTGAGATTGTTTAATTTTTTAACACAGCAGTGAACTATTACAGGATAATCACAAAAGTAACTGTCGGAATGCTAACAAAGGAGAAACCAAGAAATAAATGAAATCTCAAAAGAAAAGTTCAAACAGATAACCACACCAAAAACATGTCATGTTGCTGATGGCATGAAAAAGACCTTAGATCAGTAAACACATAGACAAGTAACTTGTTGCATATCTGTAAAAGGTAACTTAACGGATGATCATTGATATTTCAACATATATATAAATCACTAAATATGGATAAACAATTAATTCTGGCATGTAAGTAGAGTTATAGTTATTATCAATAGAGCCATTAACTTCTATCAGACCACAGAGCAGCAATGGAGAGATCACAATAGAGTTTAAAAGATAGTTGAAGAGAAGTATTGATGCCCCCAACACAAGGTAATTTCAAGCTTTACACAGATGCTACTATCTTCTCTGATGCTCAGAAAACAGGAATGATGCGCAATTCATGAGCACAAGGTTCTTAAGCTAGTCAAAACCAGAGGAGCACAAGCAAGATGATTCCAGAAATAGGAGAAGCAATGGCAATTGCATTTTGGAATCCACAGAGTAAGAAATGCAGATTACACAAGCCTCCTGGTGGGAAATGATTTTGTAATAGTTGATGCACAACAAGGAATAACTATCAATTAAATTCACTCTATTGATAGAGTACATCGTGTGTTGCCTGGCTCCCTGGAACTTTTACAGGATTCTAATTGCAAATGGGAAGCCAATGGAGTGACTTTTTTGAGAATCAGCATGCACACCATTGAGATTCAGACAACACATTGTTTTTGTACCTCATGTAATGAGAGGTCTACTTTCCTGAAAAGAGTATATCAAAGTCACAAATGCTTAGACACACAAGTTTATTTTGTTCACAGTTTTGGACCTAATTTTCCCACATGGATCTTTTTCCAACTGTTATTCACCAGAATTAAATGGAATCAGTTTTTTATTGCTCCTTATCCTGGCAAGAAGTAGACCTTGTCAAAACCCATTGGAGGTATAACTCCCTCCCTATCAAACACAGGTGTGTGCAGCCACATTGAGAACACAATATACCTCAATTGGACAGGAACTCTCCACTAAATCAAGTCCCAACTCCATACAGTTTTTGAAAACAAGACGGAGACCTCACAAATCAAAGATCAGATTCGCAGATGCTTTAGACGAACAAGGATTGATGCATGCAGCTATATGGTGGGTTAGCACTGCATTACAAAATGATGACTAAATTCTCAAATGTAGGTGATACAAGAACTAGGATGTTATGAATCATGACATCCTGCTACTGCAACTGACTAAGCAACATTATTCATGCTCATCTCCTGATATGCCTGCTCTTTTGCACCAAGCATCATGTTTATATTACTCAAACTTCACCATGATTACATATACAGCCCTCTAGCCATTTCCCCAGTACTTCTTTCCTTAAACCATCACGTTCTCCTTTCCCTCTTTATGACTGATCTGTCTAGCAGATAATAAACAATATGCTCCTTCAACTCCTATTCTTGGCATGTATTCTATCAAGCACATCAAAGCCATGTAACAACCATTTCCCTTCTTCCCAGAACAATCCAGCACAGTCCCTTCTCACAGATGTTGCTTCCTTAATCTAACTAACTATCCACATTGGATCTTCATTCATGCAATTAACTACACTCAATTCTGCCATCAATTCAAATGCAATCACCTACTACAGTTCCCAATTTGTTTAACTCTAACCAGACCATTTCTAAGCTCATTAGAAAATTAACACCCCAATTGTTATTGGACCAAATTTTCCTTAGATCCTTTTGTGATTACAAACTAGTAAAATTAGATACAAATGCAAACCGAGGCCTTGATGTTCAAGAAACAGCTAATACTAGAAACAATGTCCAAATACTAACATATCAGGGACCCAAGTTGTCCATACAAATACTAACATATCAGGGACCCAAGTTGTCCATAAACCATAACACAGAACAAATTCTCACACAGCACAACCCTCTCTTTTATATTGATGGTTATGTAGTGATGCCAAGTCAAGCGGCTCATGAATGTGTTAGACTAGGCTTTAGCTCTCAGGATAAGAAACTGTTCTTAGAGACTATGCCTGGGGTTATCAACACTGATGTAAATCATTAGAATTTGAAATGGAAGCCTGTGTTTCTATTTGAGAGAGAGAGAGAGTTCTTGGGGCAAGGTTATGCATACATTGAAATAGGAGAGCAAAAAGCATCAGACATCAAGTATAGTAGACTGGTAGGCTTACAGAAAACTTCACGTTGATTTGCATTTCTTTCATTGTCACAATGTGCAACAGCATTTTTAGACACCCCACAGTGCTCTTCAATTAGTCTTACAGCTATCATCAAAATCAAATATTTTTCGAGACTCATAAAGACTAATAAATTATTATTCCCCTAGAGTTCATGCCACTAGATGTCATGTCAGCTCGAAGATTTTTGAACCTACATTGCCAGATGAGTAACACCTTGCAACCAATTCCAAGCTAGATTTATCTCCTCCCCCTCCTTCCCTCCCAAACAGCCCAAATCACTAGATAAAACACCATGAAACACAACATAAATTGGATTAATTCATTTGTTGCAGAATAAATCATAGGCATGCCATTGACCCTTGGCAAAGTGGACATAAACTATCGTCCTATCTGTGGATATATCAAAAGCAGTGGTTCTAAAGCCACTCAAAAGGTTTTAGTAGAATAATGTAATATTTGGAAGACATTTATAATCTGAAACATCTAATGTTTGCTGGGAACATTTAGCAAGTGGTGGTTCCATCATAAAAGAGCCTTTGGTTGGCTATGCAGTGACTGAGAAGATAAATTACGCAAGACAAAGCTACTAACCTGCATAACAGGGAGCCAATCTTTCCCCTTTGGCAAAGCTTCAAGCTTTTTGTTATCTAACTGCATAGAAAAGGTTCAAAATGAAAGCCCGCAAGAAACAACAGACAAGAGCATCATCATCTACAACAGAAAGAATACATACCAAAAGAATGGCAGCTTGGGGAAAGTAGCGATAGATGTGATCGCCAATATTCTTTGCAACATTACCAAGCTCCACATCATCAGACCTCTCATTTGCGTGAAAGTAACCCACTATACCCAAACCTCGAGCGCTATAATACTCCTCTATCTATTCACAAATAATTCAAGAAACCCATTTTTTTTTTTAGAAAAAAAAATTCAACATTCTCATCTCATAAGTATAAATCAATCCCTGAACTTTTCAAATTATAACTAATAAGTACATGTTAATTACATTGAATTAACAAAGGATCTTACTTAATTAACCAAAAATGAAAAAGAAAATATTGATTGCTAGTAGTTTACCATGATGAGAGAGATCTCGAGGGGAGGCAGGAGACCTAGGTGGTTGTGGAACAGAGGAACAGAGTCGATGATCTGGACAACATCGTCACAGGAACTGCCAACGAAAACCCCGTTGACGGCGGAGGTTTTGTGCTTGAGAGAGTGGAGTACTAGTTTTATGTATGCATTTTGTGAAATCTCGTATCTCAATTCACCACCACTACCACCCATCGTATTTTTCCCTTCTCAATTCGAGAAAATTGTCTCGTATCTTAGCTGGGTTTGTCTGTCTATCGCTGAGTCTCAGTTCTCCAACTCTTTAGCATCTCGTAATCCGTCTTGGCTTAATTCTTCGTATTAGGTGTTTTTTCACAACATGTTACAACTATATATTTTTTTATTTTTTTTATTTTAAAAAATATATTTTTATATGATTTTAATTAACTAATATTAAAAATAAATTTTAAAAAATAAAAAATAAATTTTAAAAACAATATCTATTACATCCTTAAATAAAAACATAATCTCTTTTTAAACTATATAATTTCATCTAAACTATATAATTTAGATGAAAGTATATAATTTAGATGGAAATCAAAACCTAATAACTTAAACTTATTCATGATTCAATCCCAATATTAATTCTAACCTAAACCATAATCCATATCAAATTTAGCTCAAACTTCAAATATCTCAAATAATTTTCTATATGCATCTTAATATAAATAACAAATCTTGAATATCATTGACTTAAATCCTAATGTATCCCAAACTCTAATAATAGCCTAGTCATAATTAGAAATACCTCAAACTTTGTTTTACACCAACTTGAACCCTAATTGTTATAAACCTGCCCTTAACCAAGGTCCCAAAGAAACCTAAATTGCTCTAGTTGACTCTTTAACTCTTTAGACCAAATCTTAATTTTTATGACAAACTCTTACACATCCTAGTTTAAGGTCCCAACTTAAATGCTAAGTACTCTAGTTTGGATTTTAACTCGAACTTTATGCACCTAAAAGAAAGTCTTGGCCTAAATTTCGACTATTCTGAACTAAATTCAAACCAATTTTTGGTCACTTCGAACCAAGTGTAGGTCTAGACCCTAGACACCATATACATGGTTTAAAACTAAATCTTAAACCTTTTAACCCAATTCCTTACCTAAACCGCAAACTTGGTCCTAACTAAATTTCGAGACCTCAAACCTAGTTATAGCCTAAATGCTTGAGCACACTAAACAAGCTCTTGAATTGAATATGAGGCACCCTACACCAAGTCTTAGCTATAACTCGAGATATAATCCACTAAAAAATTTGAAATCATTTTTTTTATATTTTCTTTTCAAATATTTGAAAAATAAAAACAAAAAACAATATCAAATACCTTCATTTTTAATACTAGACTCTCTTGAAAGTCTAAAACAACACCTAAAAGAAGGTGAATTAGGTTTTAATTGAATATTTGATACTTTAAGAAATTTAATAATTTTAAAGCTTCAGATTTTATATAACAAATATCAAATATGAAACGCACAAATAAAATGAGATAAAGATCAAGAGAGATATAACAAGTTTCTAATGCTTTGAACAATCACCTACTTTACTCGTTAGACTATTATTCAAATATTCACTATTAACTCGTGATTTTCTTAACAAGTGGGACCTTACCGAGACATTGATTTTTTGTTTTGTTTTATGGGAATAAGATTACAAAACCTTTCACTCATAATCTTTCTTTAAGATCAAGATCTTAACTTTTCAATGATTCATAACCAAATATTTTTTTTAAATAATTGAAGTGCTACTTGCACTTTCACAATAGATTTTCTCTCTTAAGGATTTTTCAATAAATATAATAGATTGAACTCATATCTTTATGAATTATAATTTATATCAAGAATGTGGGAGGGATGATTGATGCAAATAAAGTTTAAAATTTTAAGAGGATTATAAAAATAATAAAAGCTTTTAAATTAAAGAGTTTATAAGCATAAAGTGTTGTAAGGTAATTTAAATGAGGTGAAAAAAAGTTGTATTTTTAGGTGAAAATCATTGCATAGCCATTACTCTTATTAAGAAAGATAGAGTAAAATATTTTGAATTTTTAATGTATTCTTCCATCTATTAAAAAAGACTATAACACATTTTTAAAAGAAAATAAGTTTCACAAGAGCTTTTGAAAGTACAATAAATTAACTGTTGAAAGTAAAATAAGTTAAGAATAACTCTTTCAAATTAGTTAAAAATAAAATAGTATGATCAAAGTGTAAAACATCATTTATTAAATTTATGTAATCTAGTTAAAAATAATTCGAGTGATAACATCAAAATATATTATAAAAGATTTTTTTATGAGGTATTTTTCACAATGTATTGATTTCGATAATGATAAAATTTTTGGATAATAAACTTGGCAATGAAAATATATTTTGTGATGCCAAATTAAATTATATAAAGACTTGATTATATGAATTTAAGTTTAAACATCTTCAAATCAAGATTGCGTTCAAGGAGTTCATTTTGATTCTATTTGATAAGAAGAAATTCCTATAATATTAAAACTTTTGATACACCACTAGTTAAAATATCATGTTGATTAGAACTTACAAGTGTATTTTTATCAAGGTTTTATATCATCATTTTGCACTTGAAGTATCAATAACTCCTTAACTAAAGTATGTTTTATAATAACATATCTAATAATATAAGATACCTTTAATTAATGGTAAATGTTCATTTTAAATGTAGGCCTATCACATAAATAAAAAGATTGATTGATGAGTTTAAGAACTAAAATTGAAAGGACAAAGAGGTCGCCACACTTAGAAAAGAGATGCTGGTGCAGTCCAAATCAGAATACTATTCTGTAATTGTGTCATATCTAAAGCTATAGATCTCGAATTTAGGTCTACTTTATATGGATGGAAAGGTAAGACATAGGCCTACAACTTTTATATGGAGCCTAAGATTTAATAAGGTCATTTTCAAGTCCAAATTGTAGTAACAATGAAAAAATCCGAATTGGTCCTACAGCTCGAAATCTCAATATGAACTTTAATCTTTGATGCTAACATGTTTTGTATTTGTTATCTTGTTCACTCTTTAATACTTTGCTTGTTAAATGACTAATCTAGATTTATGTTGTATAACACTTGGTACAACAAATGCTTGACACTTTCATAACCCATATTGTATGGTATAACCGACACGTGAGTTATGAAAGAAACTTAATTTGTTGTTAACATAAGCTATAAGCATGAATACCTAATAGTATTTACAAGTATTAGCATTATTCGAATAAGATAACTAATGTAATCATGTTAACAATTTATAATCTGATTGGAACCTCCTTTGTGTGTGGTTTTTATTTGAGTAATAAGAGTTTATAATATACTTATTTGGCATACCATTAGTGGATCCTCTAACCTTGACATTTGTTGTTATTATTGTTTAATCCTTACGTTAATCTTCCATCTCAAAGTTTTTATCAACTTCTTCTTCTTCTTCTTCTTATATTATTACTATTACTACTACTATTATTATTACTACTATTGTTATTATTATTGTTACTATTGTTGTTGTTGTTGTTGTTGTTATTGTATTATTGTTATTTATAATTTATATAATTAACCTCCCTATGGTTCGACGCTGGTCTTGTTAGATTATTTTTTCCTTT